TGGTGAGGTGGATTGGAGAGATGACAACACTTTACATACGCGGAATCCAGAGGCGCTTGGCTAGTGCCACGTCAAAGGCTGACGTGGCATCTGGCCTGAGGCACAGAGAAGAAAGGAGAATAGTGGCGGTGGCTGCTATTTGAACATTTTCCCGGTGTCTTCTACATTAAGTACTCCATAGTTGATGCCCTTAAGAGGCTGGAGAGCTCTTGCGAGTTGGTAAATGTCGACGTTGGTGGACGAAAGTGGAGTCAGCCCTAAGGAGACCGAAGTGTGGAGATCGCTTGCCCTATTTAAAGCTTCAACGCAGAGCGGGAGGATATCGTCAAGTTGGAGGATCATCATCAAATTTATCTGTGTTTTTTTGTTCTTGTTTGTATTTCGTGCAGACTTTTCATCAAGAGCACCAAGAGTTTCAAGTTGTGGAGCACCATTATGTCATCTTCATGTGAACATCACCAGTTTTCATCATCATTAGCAGCAATATAGCTGCCACGCTCATCTTCTGCGACACATATTCACGTTCATCTTTTGCAACACTTATTCATTAATTTATTAATCAATGCCACATCATCACCATTATTGACTTCGTCAATATAAACCCCAATATTAATTATTCTTACTAATTATCTTCAACGCAGGACGCCATCTTCCACAGAGCAAACTTTTGTCTGCTCTAAATCCAATTTATCATTACGGCATTGAATTCCACGCCACTTTCGAAATACAATTCCCCAAATAGTTCCTCACTAAATTTTTTGCAGATTCATTTTGAACTTATCACCATCATCTATTTATAAATCATTATTTAGTATTCTTCATCACTATCATCGAACTAGTTGATTTCTCCTCGTAGGCTTTAGAGTCAGATATGGCGAGAAGGTAAGTGGATTAAAGGTGGGGCGAACTCTACTCTACAAAGGAAGCGCAAAGAGGGAGGTGATAACCTTCGAGGGAGTACAGGCAGACAAGGGGGAGTGTTCTAGTTTGGGGTTGGGGAAGATCCCAGTGGTGGCAGATTAGGGCACAGCTAGCTTGAGATAATCAGTGGGGGGAACTGACTCAAGGGAGTAAAGGAAGAGGATACGACTTTCTCTAGCTGGGGTTGAGGGAATATAACTGTTTGCAGATCAATTCCGCTCAATGGATGCAGCACAGAGAGAGGAGGAGAGGAAGAGGGGGGAAGAGGCAGGGGAGGAGAGGGGAGGTTGAATCTACATCAAGGGTCATCATCATCAATATCATCATCAAAAGCAGCAACATCTACATCGTTAGGTTTTTCAAAAAATTCCTCTGATTGTGTTTTATTAGAATATGAGAGAAGGTAAGTGGGAAAGGTGGGGAAACTTGAAACTCTATAAGGGCATCGCAAGGTGGGAAGTGATGCTCTGTTAGGAGTGGAAGTAGATGGGCGATTGCGCTAATCTGGGGCTGATAATCCAGCGGGGCCAGATTACGGCAACAACTTGATTGGGTCATACTTTGCGGGGAATGGTAGGACCTAATGGTGAGTACGGTTGTAAGTGGGACTGTCCCAGGTTGGGACTGAAAAAAGACTACTCATCAGGGAGGTTCATTTCAGCGGAGGCAACAAGGGGCGAGAAGGAACAGCGGGGGAAAGAGGAATAAAGTCCATATCTACTGACGTCAATCATTATCATCACCACCGTCATCAGATGCGTCATCTGCTGGGGACTCAACTAAATCAAATCCTTTATTTTTAGGTATTATTATCAGTTTCGTTGATTGTCTAATAGAGCTGTGAATGTGCACTTGCCTAGGTCGAGTTGATGCCAGAACGATGCTGACCGGTGTTGGGGCATCGCCCTGTAACCTAAACTACTAGGAGCTTGAGGTCTTGTAGAGAGATCTAGGGATTGTTGAGGGAGGAAGGCATTCCACTAATTTGACCGACGGTAACAATCCTGCCGACGATGGTCGGAGTTGGGGCGGGTAGCGCTGCCTGTAACTTAGCTAAATAGAGGGTGTGAGACTGGGTAGAGGTGGGATTGATACACAGCACAACATCAGATGACAATTGCTGGGATTGGTAGAAATACCTGGAATTAGGATAGGGTCCCATGTTGTAGTTCTGAGTAGAGAACATTCTGATTAGCCTTCCTGATCACTCTTCCTTATTGACTAGTACTTAGAGTGTGACTGCCCAGATCATGATTCTGATTAGCAGAAAATCATCAGTTTTAGCATGATTATCATCATCCTCGTCACCATATGTTGGTTACTCCGGGTAGACTGTGAGGACCCCGGCCTCAATGTTCTCAAATATCAATACAAGCCTTGGGCACTGGGCCTTAAAAAAAAAAAAGAAAAAAGAAAAAAAAGGTGGGTCTATATCCAGAGGCCACAATCTCAAGGGTGCATAGGCATGGATCGAGACACAAGAGGCCCACAACCAAGTGAGACTGATGATGAGTTATTTAAGGGATGAGTGAGGACTCTTAACGAGTGCTGACCATGTCTATCTATCTGTACCTTATGAGACTATTATGAGTTCTCGCTCTTCCCTCATTTATCTTGCCTTTGCTTTGAGTCAGTCAGTCTTGATTCTTTGCGTCGACTTTGTTTGATGATTATGCTTTCTGATGATCTTGTCACAACTCTCAAAATTAGTAAATTGGCAAAATTGATACATGCATGGCATACCAGAATTTTATGATTATTATTTGCATGATCTTTGCTGTTCCGAATCACAATAAAAAATTCCTAAGACCGGGGACCGGCGAAGACCGCAATTGAAGGGTCTCGCTCGAAGTCGAACGCACACAACAACAAGGGATTTGCTTTATTTATTTTATTTATTTATTTATTGCAATCAACCAACAAAATCATGCGTGACAACCTGTTGTTTCGGTGATTAGAAGTGGCCTGACCCGAAAAAGTGCGACAATGCCCAGAGGCGTGGCATGACGTGTCGTCACATGCTCTCCCCCCTAGCCTACCACCTTCGCGGATTCAAATTTGGATGGAAGACGTGCGCGGAGCCGCTCGTGTGGCAGTTTCCCGCGGGAAGCGATTTGCCGTGACAGTTCGGGGACATGGCTTAGCGCAATGCGGAGACGCTCACCGGTTTGATGCTAGTGCATCTCTCAGTCCCCTATCAAGTTCCCGACAAAACATCTTATCATCATCGTTTTTTTTTTTGTTTTTTTTTCGGTCCGCTGTTTTTGGGGACTTATATATATATATATATATATATATATATATATATATATATATATATATATATATATATATATATATATANTCAAATAGATATATATATATTGTTGTCCTCTTCTCCCTCTCTGCCTACGGTTTACCGGGCAGTTCTATTTGACGATATATAGGGTTCAGCCTCCTGATGAGTCGGTGAAACTCCGACGAAACAGTTTGTCACAGCCCCTCGTTCGTTGTCCTCTTCTCCCTCTCTGCCTACGGTTTACCGGGCAGTTCTATTTGACGATATATATATATATATTGCTTTGCCTGCTTTGTGTGCTTGAGTGACGTCTGCCCTCCCGCCTCCCCCGTGCCCTCCACCCATTGTCTTTTGCTGCTGCCTGTTGTCTTATGCTTGGGGTACTATCTTTCTGTACTTGCACTTTTCCTTTGTCTTTCCTTGTTTTGTGCATTTACGTATGGTCTGCCCTTCCACCTCCCCCGTGCCCCCCAGTCCTTGTGCCTTTCTGCAGTTTGCTGTCGTTGCCTTCTTGCCTTTTGCCTTATTGTGCTTCCTTTCCCCGTGTTGTGGTGTCTGTTCGATCGTGTGTGTTCCAGTTCGCCTGCAAAGAGCAGTGGGAGCATGGATGCTCATGTAGTCTGGCATAATCATTCCCCACCTTACAGCATAGGTTCAGTCTGCACCACGCCTACAAGTTCTTGTGCTCATGAAGTCCGGCATAGTCATTCCCCACCTCCGAGTACCGGATGCGTCTGCACCATGTCTACAAGTTTTCATTATTAAGGTCCGCCGATATATTATTTTGGAGCTTGATTATGATGCGGTTTCCGTATCATACCGCAAACATGTCACATTATGTGGGACACACACACACACACACACACACACACACACACACACACACACACACACACACACACACAAATAATAATAATAATAATAATAATAATAATAATAATAATAATAATAATAATAAGAAGAAGAAGAAGAAGAAGAAGAAGAAGAAGAAGAAGAAGAAGAAGAAGAAGAAGAACTATCCTCTCTCTCTCTCACCTGATGCTGACGATGCTCATGAATACTGAATAGTGAAGATGGTGGCTCCTCTGATGCAGGTCGCTGGAGTGAAGTCCAGCTATGGAGCCCAGGTAAGTCTCCACGTCTCTCGCGGCCAATGCTCACCAGCCTCCATGCTCCCACTGCCTCCTTCTACTCCTCTACTGATACTCTAGAGCAGATTAACTCCAACTGGCACTGCTTTCTAGCAGTGTGACGGCCATGTGATGCTCAGAATGTCCTCAAACTGGAGGACTGGCCCAGATATATACCTCTGGGTCTGGCTGAGCTCTACACAGTCTGCTGTCAGGACCACCCGATTTAGTATCTGATCGATGGTCCTGATTGCAGGCCCAACTCCTGGTCCTACAATCCTGGCCTAAAATGGCCTGCCTGGGTCCCTGCAGGACGTCCAGGTGGCCCTACTGATGCAGCACGGCAGTCCAGACGGGACGAGGACTGGGCCAGGGACTAGCAGACGAATGCCTGGTCCAGTCCCAGATACCGACAAAACTGAACCTGACCCACTACGGCATCTTCACGGAGAATTCAATTTCACTGAGCCCAAAATATGAGCCTAGGCCTAGAAAGTGACCGTGACCCTCCAATTGCCCAAACTAAACGGCTGCGGGGCCTGGAGGCCAAGTGGAAAATGTCAGGTGTGCAAACGCCCGTGTAGTAGGCCACTGCATGCTATACCTGTACTCAGGCAGGGGCTCATTTTTGCAAGCCCAGGGCAGGGCCTTTCACTGGCATGCCGAGGTCCTGGATCCATGCATCTTTATTTAGGGGGAAAAAAAAAAGAATCGGAAAGTTCAGGGCCGTAAAGAGTCAATCTGAGATTACCTTTCGTGACGAAGATCTTCCTCCACATGCCCAGCTCGAGGGCGGTGCTTGCGAAGATTTACGTCCAACTCCCTTGTCAGAGAATTCTCCTGTGTGTCTCTGAATCTCTCTGCCTCATTGCAGATGACCATTTCTGCATCCTCCATCTCATTTAAGAGTGCTCTCTTCAGGTCCATGAGAGGCTTACGCAGAACATCTGCAACACGAAACAACAACTTCAAACTTGACGCTGATCCCTTTTGAGAAAAGGAATTTGATAAAAGGAATTTGATAAAAGGAATTTGATACCACTTCAAATCATCACAACACATAGCAAGGTGCCAAGGCTCTTCCACACCATAAGCTTTTCTCATCGACTTTTTTAAGGATTGCAGAGTCAGTGAAGAGAAGACATCAAACTGCATTGGATGTCAGTTGCCTCACTGACTGATCACACAACATACATACTGATTCTGTTCCCTCTTGCAGGAACATGGAAACCTGATTCTACCAGACAGTCTCCCATGTTTCCCCCACAGGCAAGTGTGCAGAAAAAGAAAGGAAAAAGACTTGGTCAAATGAATATGCTGCAGAGAAGGACCATAAGATTGAAAGATTGAAAAATGAAAACAATGTAGCTTGAGGATTTGGTCTCACAGTACAACTGCATCGTTAAGTATGGATTTCTCCACACGACAGACCACCTTCCTCGTACTACTCAGTCTGATTGAGAGCTATCGCTCTTCCTGTATAAATACTACTTTAATCCCTTCGTCCGCGAAGAATCAGGGACCAAAAAACCTATCCTACTCCCGAGTCCCACAATAGGCGGGAAAACAATAGAAATTAATTAAATTTGAAGAAATTGAAATCGGAAATTGAAAATTTAAAAGCAGGAGACTGGAAAACTTTTCGACTCTCGAGGCTGGTCCTTTCGGAACCTTCTCGTAGATCAGTCATTTACGGGTCTGTATGGCCGCTTAGTCCCTGCAAGGGGTCTTCAAAAAATTATTATGCCGCGTTTTTTCACGACGTGTGCCGCTAGTAGCAAGAAGAGTCCAAAACCTGGAGAGCCAGCATATCGATCTCTGAGATCATATCGACCTACGAGGTCGGATGCCTGCTCAAGTATCTTGCTTTTTGTGACTTGCACCAGGAGAAAGGTACGCGCACTGCACATCACGATTGCAGGAGATATGTCACATCTGTCAACCATTGTCAATCCCAGCATCTGTAGCAGTCCTCAAGTCTCTGACTCATCTCTGTCCGTATGGCCCCCAATCTCTCGGAAACTTTCCGGACGGCGGAAAAAAAGATCTTACCGGGCACGCCGGCCCTTCCCAATTCCGTGCATAACGTTATCAGGGATAAAGGCAACATAGCATCTACGTTTGTACTTGTGTTAATACGGTGGATCGTACCCATAACATTTGCTACCTTCTGTCCGAGAGACCCAAAAGAAGTGAAGTGCCAAATGATCATGTACCAGGGTTCCCGAGGGTTCTCCCAGATGCTTTCCAAGTTCTTGAACTTGTGCGTTATGACAATCTCCATTGGGTGTTCCAATACGAATACCTTCGTTTCTAGAAACTGGACTATGTTGTTTCCGAAATCGGTCCGAGCCTGAGTTCTTTGTGATAGCATGTGTTGATTTTAACTGTCTTCTCTTTATTCCCATGTTCAACAAGCCCGAATAGCAACAGGTCATCCACGTACCCCTTTTTTTTCCGAATAATAATTTGGCGTCTGTGCCCAGACTCCGCAAAAACTGGTTTTCTTCAAACATGCCTACAAGGCAGGCCAGTGATGGACTAGCCTGTCCCCCCATAGGGATTCCTTTATTCTGTTTCAGAATTTCACTGGTAGCTATACAAAAACCATTTTTGTTCAGAGTGACGTCAACGAGGTTCCTTAGGTCTTTCAGTCGACGATTGGATTTCCATCCCCCTTCCCCGGCCGATTTGCCTAGTACTGCACCCTCCCCCCTGACTTTCACTCTCACCCAATGTTTTCCTTTATCTCTTAACTCAGAAAAAATCCAATCAACTGTTTTTCTGACTTTGTCATGCTGAATTTTGGAGAACATTTGTTTAATATCATTTGAGCGACCAGTAGCCTCCAAGTCGTCTTTTTTTATCTTTTCATTAAGAATTTTAATGCTGCTTTTCAGCTCAACGCCAGAAGTGAGGTTGAAGTGTTCCGTTCATTTTTTTTTTCTGAGTGAGAAGGTTTAATTTCCGTTTAAAACCTTTAGTAGGATCCTGCATCCTGATCTTGCGGGATTGAGAAAAGATGGCCAAATAGGACGCCTTTTCTCCAAATCTTTGTCCTTACTCATTATGAAGGCATTCTTTGTTTTTTTTTTAGGGAGGGCATT